CTGTAGGTGGAGCTCCCTGTGGGGCCACGAAATGTGCGAGGGGCGTACCAACATGGGTGCGGTGGTGCCGTGCGAGCGCAGCCACTGCGTCCTTCGGTGGAGTTCCCTATGGGGCTAAAAAACGTGTGAGGGGTGTGCCAAAATGGGTGGCGATGATGGTGACGATGACGGTGATGACGATGACGATGACAATGCCGATGACGATGACGATGACGATAACGATGACGATGACGATGGCGATGACGATGACGATGATGATGATGATGTTGCTGACGATGATGATGGTGATGATGGTGATGATGATGATGATGATGATGATGATGATGATGATGATGATGATGATGATGATGGTGATGATGATGATGATGATAATGATGATGATGATGATGATGATGATGATAATGATGCTGCTGATCATGATCGGAGGAGGGAGGAGGGGGAGGAGGAGGAAGGAGGAGGGAGACGCGGGCGCTGTCTCTTCAAAACGAGGACCTAACACCACAGGATGGTTGGGAAAAACACTGGCATAAGCGCGCCAGCACATTCCAACAAAGAAGGGCAGAAGGGCAGAAGGGCACGGCACAAGTGGGAAGAAGGGCGAAAACCACAAGTGCAAACATGGAAATGCGCATGGGCATGGAGTAGGCGCGCAGCGAGTCGAAGTGAGGGAGGAGCCCACGATAACAGAATGGCCATGCACACAATGAGAACACCGAGAAAGGGGCGAGGTGAACGAAACACTGCGCGGCATGCGGGCGGCAGCTGGTCAGTGTGGCCGAATGTGTTTTGGAGGGCTGCCCAACGGCAGAGTCCACAGCGGGACACCTCGCAGTGGGGGGCGCCCCCTGCCAGACGGCCAAAAGGGCCGCAAGCCAGCCGGCAGCGCAAGTGGCACCACCACACGGCACATTTGAGAAGCAAATCCTCCTCCTCCTCCTCCTCCTTCTCCTCGTCATCGTCGTCGTGAGGCGGCATCAGCATCATCATCATCAGCAGCAGCATCATCGTCATCATCAGCATCATCATCAGCATCATCATCATAATCAGCATAATCATCATCCTCAGCATCGTCGACACAACACCTTTGAGAAACATATCCTCCAATTCCTCAAGACATCAACTGAAAGCAACCCCAAACACGCTGTGAGTTGGTGTGGGTGCTACTGCTGCTAGGCTGGGCGGTGTAGGCACGGCGTGAAGATGCGCGGACGGTGTCTGGACGGCGACACGCAGTGCTCGCTTGAAATGGGCTGGTGGTGCAGACTGCATGGAGGATTGAGCTGGTCATTGGAAGACTGGTCCGCCCGCTCAGGCGCGGCGCACGAGACGCTGGAAAGCAGGAGAGGGGGCGCGCGCGAGCGGGCACAACGCTGCTCTCGCCCAAGCGCCGCCCCGTTTCGCGTGAGAATGGCAGTGCTGCGTCCGCGTGGCGCATGGCTCGCCTTCGCGTCGTTCGTCTGAAAACTCGCCGGGCGAGAGAATGCGAAGTGATGCTCTAGCCGCAGCGCCGCGCGAGGAGTCCCTGGCAATTCCGGTCCCGCCAGCGGCCGGCCCGTCTGAATGGTTGGGAAGCGGGACCGCGCGCCAGCGCCCTCCGTTCGCTAGGTGCAAACGTGAGCCCGTCTCGATATCCAGATTCGCCAGCACTGATTCTTCAAAGGGGCCCTGGGACACACACAGAAATACACACACAGATAACAGGATTCCCCAGATGTTCCCATCCTTTCCGGGTCGTTGTCTCCCCACCCACCTCCCGTATCTTCCCATGTGTTCCTGGGAGTCGACGATTCATTGTGTCTGTGTGATTTTTCACCTCCTGATTCCTGTTGCATGGGAAACGAAGGATTGCAACAAAAAAACAGGATTGCAAAAAAAAACGAATACAAAAAAACAAAGGATTGCAAAAAAAAAAAAAAAAAAAAAAAAAAAAAAAAAAAAAAAAAAAAAATCGTTTGAACAAAGGATCGCAATCCTTCGTTCAAGAGGGTTTTTTTTGCAATCCTTCGTTTGCAATCCTTCGTTCGAGGGTGGAGGCGAGCGGAGCCCACCGACGGGCTCTCCGGGCCCGCGCACACGCCACGCCTGCCATGCTGGCGCGGGAGGCACCTGTGCAGGGGCCCCTGGGACACACACACACACACACACACACACACATAAGTACACACAGACAACCAGATTCTCTATATGTTCCCACATCTTCAGGGTTCTTGTCTTCCCCCCCACTTCCCAGAGTTTCCCATATCTTCCTGGGAGTGGACGACTCATTGTGTCTGTGTGTGATTTTTCCCCTCCTGACTCCTGTTGTATGGGAAAGAGAGGGTGGAGGCGAGCGGAGCCCACCGACGGGCATGCCTGCCATGCTGGCGCGGGAGGCACCTGTGAAGGGGCCCTGGGACGCACACATAAATACACACAGATAACCAGATTCTCCATATGTTCCTATATCTTCTGGGTTCTTGTCTTCCCCCCCACTTCCCCTAGTTTCCCATATGTTCCTGGGAGTGGACGATGAATTGTGTCTGTGTGTTTTTTCCCCTCCTGAACTTGTGCAGTCAGGCTGGTTACGTCTTGCTTCTTGCGCGAACCCCAGCCCGGACACTCGCCAGCATCAGTGGTCCGTCTCTTGTGCTTTGCCGACGGTGCGGGGCGCGCAATACCGATCGCCCCAGCCGTCGGCTCGAGAGAGAGAATACAAGGGGCGAACGTGCTCCTCCGCATTTCGCTATGCTGCGAGGTCTCCACCCCCAGACTAATCGTGCTCCTGGAGTTGTCCTTCACATCCTCTGCAGGAGAGCACAGAATCGAATCGATAAGTCGGATCGGCGATCGTCGAAATGAATCGGATCGGCGAAAATCGGCAGCCGAGTCAGGAAAAGTCGAGTCGGCAGACATCGGCAGGCTAGTAGGCCTCCGTTGAGAATTCGGATCCCAAATCGGCATGCGCAGTCGAATCGAATTTGAATTAGAATCCATCGAAATCGAATCGAATCGAATCGGAGGAATCGGAATGAGCCGTAGACGGGGGGGGGGGCATCAGCCCGCCCAGCGAGCTGCCTTCCTGCAGCGGCCTCAGGACGCCGCCACGCCAGGGAGCGGGCTGCTCCGAGGTGCCCCGTTTGAGGATTGCCACGCGAGAGGAAGCGTAGGTTGAACCTATTTGAACCTGGTTGCGTGGTATTCCCATGGCGGACACTGCCATAAAAAAAACGACTCACTACTGCTCACCCCTCCTACGACTACTGCTGCACTACTACCACCACCACCACAACTGCTAATTCTACAACTACCGCTACGACTACTATTCTCGATCCCCCCCTCCTCCTTCCACGCCTGTCCCTTTTCTGTCATTCCTCTCCTTGAGCTCGTCATCCTGCCCCCACCCCCCCACCCGAGGCCTCTGGAGAGGGCAAAAAGAGAACACATGCAACAACTATCATCGATCATCGATCCTCCCCCCTCCCCCCTCCCCCAAATGTACAAAAGACCCGCTCTCTAATTTCGCAGCAGGCGGTGGATTCAGGTCCTCCAGGACACCCCAGCCAGCGGATAGAAAAGTGTTCGACGCAGTGGGAGGGATAGATGGGAAGGGCAGGACGTCAGGTATGCGCGAGCGCACCTACGGCAGGCTCGTGTGGTGACGACCTGTGCGTTGGTCTCTGACACCACGCGGATCGTTCAACCTAAAACGGTCGCAGCCATCCGCTCAGCGCTCATCGTTCGACGCTCGATGTCGGCCGATTCCGGGACAGGCGGCGGTCAACCTCGAACACCCGCGCTGGGGTCGCCGCAGCGCCGACGTGGCGCGAGCAGTCAGCTTATCCCCTCAGCCCCCCCCCCCCGGCCATCGCTCGGACGTTCATTCCCTGTGTATGTTTTTCGGTTTCGTGCGTGGCTTTTTCGCCAGATGATCAAGGATGCTCCTCGATGGTCCTCGCCGAAGGAAAACTGCACACGTCCGAGCGATGCCAAGCCCCCAATCCTCCTCTCACCACTCCTTTCCTCGAACGACGCCCGTGCCCCGCAGATCAGACCTGCACTCCCCGCAAGCCCCGATCAAACGCGGCGCGGGTTCCATAGCTCCTCGGCTCACGGGGCGGAAAGAGACTGTGCACCGCACACGGACGCGGCCGAGGGGCCTGAGCTGGGCGGGCCCCGAGGAAAACGGTCAGGAAAAGGGGGATCAGGGCAAGCCCGTTCAAAATCAGTCCCCAAACTGAAGGGGCCCTGGGACACACAACTAAATACATACAGATAACAGGATTCCCCATATCTTTTAATATTTTCTGGGTCGTTGTCTTCCCCCCCACTTCCCATCTTTTCCCATATTTTCCTGAGAGTCGACGATTAAGTGTGCATGTGTGTGTTTTTTTCCCTCCTGACAAACCCCTGATCCATCTGGTGCAGGTTCTCACCCCCGATCCGTCTTCGACGGTCCCTGGGCCCGAAGACGCTCCCCGGAGGTCGACAGAGGCAAGAAAGAGCTCCTCGAACCCAGAACCTCGAACCCCCCCGCCCTCCCTTCTTTGAAGGGGTCCTGGGAAAACAACAAAATACATACAAGTAACAGGATTCCCCATATTTTCCATATGTTCTTGGTTTTTGTCCTCCCCCCCACTTCCCATATTTTCCCATATTTTCTGGGGAAGCCACGATTCTTTGTGCCTGTGTGCATTTGTTCCCCCCCTGATTCTTGCCGGCCGCAACCAGCGCTGGGCCACCTCAGACCACCAGCCGGCTCCGAGCCGCACCAGTCCTGGGCCGAGAATTAAGTCGGGCCTGTCCCCCTACAGGGGGATTTTCGACGAAAAATAAAAAATACCCCCAACATAATCAAAAAATAATACAAAAATAGTCCGGGGACTCTTGTTCGAGTAGTTTTGTTTCCTTTGGGGGGCATTTGGGTTTTTTTTTTCGTCGAAAATCCCCCTGTAGGAGGACACGTCCGACAGAAGTCGAGAATCGACGACGCCTCGCGAACCGTCTGCGGACCCCTCGGCGTC